GCGCAGAATCGAAGTGATTCCATACATTGAAGCGATGCTCAACAGCGATTCATAATTATCACTGCAACACGAAACAAATGATCAGTTGTCGTTCCTTTTGCTCTTAGAATACGGAATAACTCATTTAGGCATCAAACCAAATGAAAAACTCAAGATATCTCAGTGGAATCACTCCTTCAAATTTATTCGGACAGCTCACTGTTAGCTGGAAACTCTTCAATTTTAAAAATTAGCCATTTTGAAATATAAATCGCAGGAGTGGAATTCGAAGATTCGAAGCTAACTGAAGAAAGATGGTTGAAGGTTTGAAATAATTTTACAAAAAATATCTAAATAATTATTTAGGTTATTTCTGGTAAACTTCAAAACTTCTCACTTTTCAAAAGTCGTACTTCGAAACAAAAGATAAGAAAATATTGATGATGAGTCGTCTTGCACACTGTTGAAGACAAATGCTCAGATATTCAAAATAACCTCAGAACGAAACAGAAATGGATGATTACCTGGTCACAACAATATTACCATACTTACAAGTGGCATCGATGAGACATTCGAAAGAGGTCAACGTCATATCAGTAATCTCCAGTTTTGATTCACCACTACAACTCATCTGATTCCATTCTGTGAACACCGATCCACCAATTGATGACAAATATCTGGTATCAACATACTGCGATTTGCTCTCACACTGCAATGTATTTAGCTTTTTTTACAAAGTGTACACGAAATCAGTGAAACAAATGGTGAAATGAATTGATCAAGAATGAGTTCCAAGAATATAAAATCAAACAGTTAAAACACTAACAGAACAAAAAAAAAGAGTGAAATTTAAAGTTAATTGTTGAGAATGAATTGAAATTCTTAAGGAAGGGAGTAACAAGCAATGCGAACACTGCAAAAAGCATACAATTAATTGAAAATTGCGGTTCCCGGTCGGAATGGACAGATCGTGAATTGTGTAGAGATCGATAACACGAAAACACACACAAAAGGTGGCGTTCGACTTGAACTTACGCCTTACACGTAACACTTCCACTCGCTCTTCACACATTTCGCGTTCCACCTGAACGTTGTTAACCTTTCACTTCAGTAGTTTACTCTCCAGCCCTCATAAACATGCGGGCAGTCAGAGGTGCGCAATAGTGCGTTACTCGCTATTCCGCTACTAGCCGAGCCATTTTTTTTTCAATCACTGCTTGAAAGCAATTCATCAAAGCTACGAATTTGAAGGTTTTTCAGCGAGATTCACATCCACCTCCTTAAAAAAAACAACTTAGTTCGATTCAATAATCCATTTCTTATTTCTCAACACTCCAGCTAACGATAAGATAGTTTTTCACACCGGCTCGGGGTATTATACTACGATAAATGTAATAGTCATCCAAACGACGAACGAAATATTTTCGTTACTCTGAAATC